ATGGGCCATGTTATGGGGAAAGGGTATTGTTATTTTAGATCTTTCTGATCTCTGTGTACTTTTTACCATATGTATATTTGTACTTCTATTTTAAATATAAGAGAGAAAATAGGGAAGAACGCTTCAATCAGTTGGATGCAAAGGCCTCTAGCACTCCTAGCATACAAGTCTGTGCCTTCCAGACTAATCTCATCATTAGTGCCTATCGGTAGTTTTGCAAAAAGTTAGTTGGAGTTAAAGAAGAAAATCTTTTTTCTTTTGGTACTGGGGTTCTAACCCAGAGCCTTGCCCATGCTGCACCCCCAGACTGAAATGGAATATCTTTAAATCTTTCTGGCTCCTTCTAGTAAATGCTTACTGAAAGCACTCAGAAATTCTCACTCTTAGAATTAAACAATTTATTCTTAGTTATAAATCATACAAGGTGTATCTTATAGTTCAGGATTCTAAAGTGCCATTTTATGTTTTACAGGTATTTTTATAGCTTTATGGAGAAATTAGAAAAATGATTCTTTAATGAAAAAATTTAAAAGAAGTTAACTGTTACAGCATATAATTATAAGTGTCTTTGTGTGTTCACATTAAGTTCCTCATTTGTACACTGTTTGCAAATAGCCACAATTCAAACAAGAGAATTAAGGACCATAGGTTTGCCGCTGATGGAGTGGGGATGAAGAAATAAAAATCTTGCCCTGTGTTGTAAATGAAAACAGTGTGAGAGGTTTCCAGAGACATGAGAAAAGCCACCTAGAGACTGAAGAGAGGCGGGCCGTGTGGTCAAAACGGACAGTGAGTCAGCCTAATAGCGGTATGTCAGCCAGCCAAATTCAAAGACCGGCTAAAGAGAAGCTTCAAGTTTTATCATTTAATAAATCTTAACCCTTTCCACTTGACATTAAGTCATATTTATGCAGACATTCAAATAAAGCTTATCAAGCCCATGAATATATTTCATGTTCTTCTCAGAGTGTCATTGATTAGAGTATTATAGTCTTTCTCTAGTTTTCTTCAAATTGACATTTCTTTGCTCTTAAAATTATACTAACTAGTAGCTGGGGGCATGGCTCAAGTAGTAGAGTGCCTGCTTAGCCAGCACAAGGGCCTAAGCATAAGCCCTAGAACAGCCAAAAAAAAAAAAAGTACAAGGCAGTACATTGTGTGTGTCTCACTCAACGCCAGGCACGTATCATGTGGCATTTATATAATACAAGAATCTGTAATTTACCTCATGGTAATGATATTGTGACATAATTTACTGTAAATACTGAGCAAATATGTTGAGATTTTGTTTTTGTTTTTTGCTTTTATTTCTCTTGGGTTTTTGTTTTGTTTTTTTTTTTTTTTGGTTCTCTGAGACAGGATTTTGCTATATAGCCCAAACTGGCCTCAAACTCATGATCCTCCTACCTCTGTTTCCCAAGTGCTGGGACTACAGACATATGCACAACCTGCCGGTTTTCTCTACTTCCTGAATGATCTAGTGAACACTCTTCTTTTTTTGCTCAGATTTTTACTTCAGCTTTACATTTTTCAGTACTTGGGTTTGAACTCAGGACAAACACTCTACTGCTTGAGCCATACCTCCAGCCCTTTTTGCTCTGGTTGTTTTGTAGATAAGGTCTTTTTGCTTTTTCACCCAGGCTGGCCTGGATTGTGATCTTATGCTTCTAGCTGTAGCTGGAATGAAGCTGCACATTACCACAGCTTTTTTCTACTGAGACAGGTTCTCACAAACTTTTATTTATTTTTTTTTTGGCATGGGCTGGCCAGGAACCATGAGCCTCGTGATCTCAGCCTCCCAAGTAGTTAGGATTATAGGTGTGAGCCACCAGTGCCTGGCTCTGCTTTCATATTTTTAATATCCAAGAGTTTTTTCTTGTATTTTGTTTCTTTATATATATAGGTTTCAGTGTTCACTCAAGAAAACAAACCTAGCTATTTCAAGCAGAGGGATTTGATAGGGGACTAGCTATAATAGTGTCAGAAGGGCTGGAGGAGCCACCCTCACTGCAGCTGTGCAAGAATCATGGCTCCTGCCACCATTGCACTGAACTGTGTCATTGCTTTCAGAAGCACTGAAACACCACTGTCCCTGCTGCTGCTTTTGCTGCCAGATACATTACCAAAGCAGAAATGGAAAATGTCTCCTTTGTTCCTGCCACCTTCCCCCTTTGGCAGAACCTAACCAGAAGCAGCTGCAAGGAAGTGTGGGAATGCAATTGGCCAGCTTCTAAACACTTGTGTGACAGAGAACTTAAGAGTGTTTACATTGGCGCTTAGACCCAATAGACAGAATCAGCACATGACCCAATCGTGTCTCGTGGATGCAATACCATTTTTAAGGGTATTATAGTTGTCTTTACAGGTTTTTGTTTTGCTGCATAGTTTCTGTTTTCTCCAAATTGTTTCGCCTCCATCTGTCCTGGTCTGTTTCACTTGTGAGATTTTTCTTTGATGTGTAACAATCCTTACGTTAAGGATGGGAGTTCTGAACAGATCCATGGACTTGTTGCCCTTGAACTTTGTGGCAGTGATCAGGTGAGCCTTCTGAGGGGAGTCCCCCACTTCTCAGGCTAGACACATGCCCAGAGGATAGTCATTTAGCCTCCTTCTCAGTGCCAAGGGCTACCCAGTTCTAGGAGCCCGAGTGGAGAAGGAGCGCTAAGGATATGAATATGCAAAATTCACTGTACATAACCTATTATATCCCTGGCGTTGGCCTCCTGGGACCCAAGATCCTCTACTGGGACATCTGTAGGGATGGGGAAAGGTCGCCATACAGTGTGTGAGTAGTAGGAGAGAAACATTTGGGGATTGGTTGTTTCCTGGACAGTTTGCAACCAACTGTATTTTAGCCAACACCCATCCTCCCAGTTGCAGGGGTATGTGATGCTGTCGGTTTCTGAGCGTGTGAGAATTTTGCAGTATAGGTTATGATGGTTCTCAGTTTTCCCCGCTGCTGACTTAGAAGCCCACTGTCTTGGATCTGTGAAGTCAGTGTCTACTTGTCCATCTGCTTTTTAACTTTCAAAAATGTGTTGCTGCTTTTGCCTCTCGTTCTCTCCATCTTTGTGAGTTTATGCTGACTTTCTTATTCTGTACAGAGTTATATATTGGCAGTTTTCTTCACAGGAGAAAGCTGATTCCACAATTTGTTGGGCTGTGTGGGGTTTTTTTTGCTGTTGAAATGTCAGTCTAACTGTTGCTTCTTTTAAACTAATATTATTTCTCTGATTTTTTTTAAAGGATTTCTCCTTGTTTCTTGTCTTTTACAGTATCATTACAACGTGTCTAAGTGTAAATTTCTTTTTATTTTGCATGGCATTCATTGGGCTTCTTGAATATGGGTTGATATCTTTTCATCAATTCTCATCTGTTATCTCTTCAAATACTTCCCCCCCCCCATTCTCTCCCCTCTCCTTCTGGATCTCCAATTACCTACTTTCTAGGCTTCTTCACTGTGTCCTCTGTCTCCCTTCTCTCTTCCATTTTTCGTCTGTCAGTGCTATCAGATTGTTTCTTCTGCCTTACTTCCTAATTCATTGATTTTTTTTTTTCTCTTCGGCTATTTCCAATTCACTTTTAAACCTGTCTACCTTCCTAATTTCATTTTTTAGTTCTAGAATTATTGCATTGGTTCCTTTCCAGTTTTTCACATCACGTTTTATACTTTCCAGTTCCCTGATGAAAATTTCAAGTTCAACCTTTTTCCCTTTTTGTTGCTTTCCAGACTGTTTGATGGTTCTGGTTTTGAGTACTTGTGGACCTGTTTCTGTTGCTTGTTCATGGTCTCTCTTCTCTTTGGTGCTTCATTACATTTGAAACTGCCCATCACATCCATATGGGGAAATAATTTGAGGCCTCGGGCAATACCTTTCTCTAGAGAGGATTTTTATTTTGCCAGGGGCCTGGACTCATTAGACATTCAGAACCACCTTAACTCAATTGACTTCTCACTCATCTTCCTCTTAGAGAACAACCAGTCTTCCCAGGGCAGCTTACCTTGCTTCTCTGTACTCCAGCCTTTGTCTCCCTGACCCACAAGCTGCCAAAAGCATAGCTTCCCAGCTACCTTTTCAGGGTTGGCATTTTCCTAGAGAAAATATACCTAAGTTGCTGTGGAACCTGTCTCAGATTTCCATTCTCTCTGATCTTGGTGGTGCATGCCTGTAGTCCCAGCTACTTTGGAGGTTAAAGACAGACGGATTAAGGTTGCAAAGCGAGCCCAGGCAAAATTAGTGAAGACCCTATCTGAAAAGCAAACTAAAAGTATTGGGGCATAGCTCCATTGGTAGGGCACTTGCCTAGCAAGTGTGAGGCCCTAAATTCAATCCCCAGTACTGCAAAAGTAAATTTTAATATATATGTATTAATTATATATATATTTATATATATATATATATATTCCACTTTTTTAGTTGTCTTTAGTAGGAAAGTGGTTCTTTTTGTTTTTGCAGTGCTGGGGAGTGAACCCAGGGCTTG